CAAGTTAACACATCAAAATATGATTAATAATAAAAATTTCACTTTGAACTTTTTAAATCTCAGAAGGGTAAGTACCAGCTACCTTTGTCTGGCTGTTCGAGTGGAACTAACTTAGGCCTTTTAAACTTGTGTCATACCTATCAAATGCATATATTTCCTAATTAGTTGATATTTCTTATATATGTATATATATACAAAGTCTGAGCAAGTTTAAAATTCATGTCTAGACCATTATATGAATTCTAGCAGAGTTTTCCTAAATTAGAAAGTTTTCATTTTTGAAAAGCTTCCTAAATTGGAAAGTTTCCATTTTTGGAAGGTTTCTTAATTTGGAAAGTTCCTTTTTCTCGCATAAAGTTTGCTAATTTAGAAATAATAATTCGTAATCATATTTATTATCTTGACCATTATACGTATTTATATATATTTATTATTATTTTAGTAGTATCCATTATTATTAGTATTGTTATTGTCCTTGTCATCATTATTTTATTTTATTATTATTTATATATATTTGTTAATTAGTTACTATTATCTTTTGCTTCACTTCCATTGTTGCGCATGTGTAAGTGTTATTATTATATATGTATATATGTATATATATATTGATTTATTATTATAATTATTGTTTTAGTTTATTCTACTTGTATTTATATTTTCATTTTATTTTCGTTTATATCTTTAATTTATTTCATCTATACCTATATTGTTATTATTTTAAGCATTTAAAAGAAATCTAAGACCTATCTTATATTGTATAACTTGATCTACTAATGGTAGATTAAAATGTCTTAAACTTCTACTTAAATATTTTAGACCTAATTAAATAAGCGTAAGTTTGATTGACTAAGTCTTTTAAACCCCACACTTACTTTAGGTTGGGTCTTGAAGTTTAATTCTCATGTTAGTCCATAAAAAATTGGGCTAGTTATGCCTAAAATTTAACTATTGGACATTCACTAAACCCATACTATATTTTTGGCCCCAGAGATACTTGGCTTTTTTTTTTCAAATTCTATTATTATTATTATGATTTTTATTATTTCTAATAATTGTTTTTCCTTCTATTGGCCGCCCTTCCGGCTAGTTAAGAGAGAAGGGTGTGATGACCCTCCTTTGCTTTTCCTTTTTTTTTCTCCTTTGGTATGCCTTTCGGCCAACATTTCTTATTTGGTCAATGTAACCTTTCTACTTGGCTAATGCCACCAGTGCTTGCCGGCTACCTTTGCCTGGCTTTTTTTTTTTTTTTTAAGCTTCAGCAACGCAGAACCACAATAGCAGTGGCAACTTCAGCAACGCACAACCACAATAGCAGTGGCGACCAGCCATTGCTTTCCCCATGTAGACTCCAAAATCTTATTTTAATTGTATTTTATTTTATTTTAGTTACCTAAGTTTATAAAATGATAGTTAGTTTTTTATTTATTTTAGTAAATTAGATTCATCATTTTCTTTTTTTTTTAAAATATTTTTGCATTAAATTTCCAGAAAATTCTCACAAAAATTAACCTTTTTTAATCTTTGCAAGTTCACGTGTTTTGTAAATAAAATCACAAAAAGGAATTCAATGTTTTCTTTACTTTAAATTTGCCTTAGTAAGTAAAAAGTAAGTAAAAAAGTAAGAAAAATAGAATAAAAAGAAATTAAAAAAGAGCAAAAGATAGTTAGGTGAAAGACATGCAAATGAGCCATGTGATTTTGGTCTTTTGCACACCACAACATTCAAAAGATAGGTGGTAAGGACAGGTGGAAGATGGGGGAAAAATCTGGAACAAAAGGGTGAAAATCTAGAACAAAGGAAAAAAGAGGGTTTCGGCCAAGTAAAAAAGAAAACAAGGGGGTTTTGTGGTAGGAGGGAAAAGATCTGAGGAGCAGGGAAAGAAAGGAAAAACTGAGAAAGAAATAAGAGAGAATTGGGGAGAGCAAGGAAGGGAGAGAGAGGTTGCAGAGAGAGAGAGAGAGAGGAAAAACGAGAGAAACGGGGAGTAAAAAAAAAAGCAAGAAGGAAAGGAAGAAAAAAGGTTTCGGGGAAGAAAGAAAGGGAGAAGAGAAAGAAAAGAGAGGGGAGGATCTAGGGGATAATCGGGAAGAGAAGCAGAAAGGAAAACGAAAGAAAGAGGGAGAAAGAGAGATCAGAAAGACAACAAAAAGAAAAGAAGAAAAGCGGTAGAATTTATAGGAAAAAGGGCTGATTTTCAGCCATCTTGTGGCGAAATTATCTCGTTCATTTTAGCTTGATTCCGGTAGTTTCTGTTTCTGTGAACACTAGGTAATTAGCAGAAGGAGTTTTGTTCAGATTATTTTTGCAAATAACATTGAGAGGGCTCCCGAATTCAGCCCCAAATCCCGCTACTTGGTTTCATTGGTGCGGGTTCGAAGCCGCAACGAAGCAATTCCAGCAGCTTTTTCACGCATTTCTTGTCCTGATTTCGATCCAAAAAGCTACATCAGGTACTCCCCTAGATTGATGTCTTAGTTCCTTTCATCTTCATTCATTGTTGGGTCGTGATCTTGAGTTTCTGGTCATTGTTGCTGTTTGCTCTTGCTGTTTCTATTCCTGAGTAGTGGGATGAAGATTCCCCCATGTTGGTGTTATGGACCAGAAACCAGAGAAGCCAGAACTATTGCAGAAAACAGAAAGGACAAGCTCAAGCAAGGAACTAATTAATCAATGAATCAATGTAACAGTAATCGTATGAATCTGATTCTTCATTAATAGAATTTGGTGAACAAATACAAGAACAGAAATGATGGTTCTAGCTGAGTAGGGGTAAGAATCGAAGGAAAATTGGGAGGGAAAAATGAGGATTGCTCCTCAAACAAACTCTGATGAATCTAGACAAAATGAATTCAAAAGCTGCTTTACTTGAGCAGAGAAGCCTGCTTATAAAGCTAACGAATCCTAACAGATTACTAACTGAGCCAATAAAAACAATACACGTGTTGAATTATATCTGCAAGTTGCCGCTCCTGAGGTTCTGTTAGAACAACTGAAACCCAGGAAAAGCGTGATCTGTTGGCCACGCTATAGACAACCTCTCTGTCCAATGTCCACGCCTTCAGCTCCTTAACATCCACGCCTTCATGTTCCTGCTACCTTGTTTCTGCTTACTCATGCCTTTTGTATTTGTTTTGCCTAGTGATCGCGTCTTTCTACTTCTGACATTCACGCCTTCATGGTTCCTGCTTCCTAAGTCATGTTTTTATCTTTAGTTAGTTTGTTCACTTCATTACAATACCTCCCCCTTGCAACAACCTTGTCCTCAAGGTTGGAATTGAGGAAATTTCTCCCTAATCTGTACAGCATCCTCCCAGGTTGCATCTGCTGGTTCAGTTCCCCACCATTGAATTAACCATTGTGTGACAGCAGTGTTCCCCCTCTTGATCGTTCTCCTGCCTAGTAAGGATTCTGGTTCCACTCGAATGAGCCCTCTGTCATCAGTGTCTGGCAGTTGTAGTATAGGAGCAGTCTTATCTCCTAGTTTCTTCTTTAGCAAGGATACATGAAAGACAGGGTGTATCCTGGATTGAGAAGGCAGCTTAAGCTTGTAAGCAACTTTTCCAATCTTCTCCTCTATGAGGTAGGGGCCAAAATACTTGGCAAATAACTTGGTATTGTTCCTGACCATCACAGTGGATTGTCTGTAAGGCTGTAACCTTAAGTACACCCACTCACCTACTTGGAATTCCCTCTCACTCCTGTGTATATCAGCATATTTCTTCATCCTCTCCTGAGCAGTCTTCAGATTATGCTGCAATAGCTCATCCATCTGTCTCCTGTCCTTAATATAGTCACCCACAGTGGCTACTTTGGCTTGTTCATAGGGGCCAAGAGCTAGTTGTGGAGGCTTGGATCCATACAAAGCCTCAAAGGGAGTCATCTGTATAGTAGTGTGGTAGGTAGTGTTGTACCACCACTCAGCCAAGGAAAGCCATGTGTTCCACCTCTTAGGTTCCAGGTGTGTCATACACCTGAGATGCATTTCCAATACTTGGTTGACTCTCTCTGTTTGGCCATCTGTTTGAGGATGGTAGGCTGTACTCAGGTTCAATCCTACCCCCAGCAGTGTGAACAGCTCTGTCCAGAATTGGCTGATGAAAATCTTATCTCTGTCTGAGATCATGCTCTGAGGGATGCCGTGTAGCTTACAGACATGGTCCAGAAAAATCCTAGCTACATTTGTGGCCTCAAAGGGGTGAGCTAAACTTATGAAGTGGGCATACTTGGTAAACCTGTCTACTACCACCAGGATAGTGTCCTTCCCCTCAGACTTGGGTAACCCCTCTATAAAATCGATGGTAACATGACTTCAAGAGTGCTGTGGAGTAGGGAGTGGTTGGAGTAGGCCTGGGTATGCCACACGTTCATCTTTACATTTCCTGCAGGTATCACATTGCAATACTACTGTTTTGATCTCTCTGAACATGCCTGGCCAATAGAATAATTGTTTAGCTCTCATCCAGCTGGCCTGGATGCCTGAATGTCCACCTAGCTGTGAGTCGTGCAGAGCAGTGATGAGTGTCTTCCTTATTTCTCCTCCCTTCCCAACCACAACTCTCCCTTTATACCTCAGAATCCCACTCTGATAGCTATAATCTGAAGCCTGTCCTGGAAATGCTAAGATTCCTCTGATGAGGTCCTGAGCCCAGTCATCTCCTAGATAGCTCTCCATCACCTCTCTCATCCATTCAGGTATAACTGTGGTAGTTGTTGCACACTCAGCTTCTTCCCTTCCTATTCTGGAGAGGGCATCAGCTACCACATTCTCCTTTCCTTTTTTGTAGCATATCTCATAGCTTAGTCCCATCAGTTTAGTTAGCCATTTCTGTTGGAGGGGGGTGGTGATTCTCTGCTCCAGCAGGTATTTTAGACTTTGGTGGTCAGTGTTGATGACAAAATGATGGCCCTCCAGGTAGTGTCTCCACTTAGTGACTGCTGTGACTAAGGCCAGTAGTTCCTTCTCATAAATTGATAGTCCCAAGTTCTTCTGTCCCAAGCTTTAATTAAGAAAGGCCAATGGTCTCTTATTCTGCATTAGTACAGCTCCTATTCCCCCATAGCAGGCATCAGTTTCTACTATAAAGGATTGAGTGAAGTCTGGAAGAGCTAGTACAGGGGTGCTGCACATAGCTATTTTAAGTTTCTGAAAAGCATCCTCAGCCTCCTCTTCCCAGTGGAATCCATCCTTCTTGAGGTGGGTGGTTAGGGGTTTGGCAATAGCACCATATCCCTTGGCAAATTTTCTGTAGTACCCTGTCAGTCCTAGGAATCCCTTCAGCTGTTTGGTGTTCCTTGGTCTTGGCCACTGCATCATGTTGTCAATCTTTCTGGGGTCAGCTCTCACTCCATCTGCTGAGATGATATGGCCTAGATATTCCACCTGCTTCTGAGCAAAGGAGCACTTGCTCTCCTTAGCATAGAGTTGGTGTTGCCTTAGGATTTCAAAGAGTTCAGTAGCATGCTGGACATGTTCCTCCAGTGTATGGCTGTAGATTAGTATGTCATAAAAAAATACCAATACATGCTTCCTTAGTTGTTTCTGGAATACCTGGTTCATCAATCCTTGGAAGGTTGCAGGTGCATTGGTCAGTCCAAATGGCATGACTTTGAATTCGTACAGTCCTTGGTGTGTTCTGAAAGCTGTTTTTGGAATATCTTCTTATCTTACTCTTATCTGGAAGTATCCTGCTCTGAGGTCGATTTTGGTGAAATACTTGGAACCATGCAATTCATCCAGCAGTTCATGAATAAGGGGCATAGGGAACTTGTTTTTCACTGTCAGGTCATTTAGCTGTCTGTAGTCCACACAAAACCTCCATGATCCATCCTTTTTCTTGACTAGCAGCACTGGTGAAGCAAAGGGGCTGCTACTGAACTGGATGATCCCAGAGTGTAGCATTTCCTACACTAGTTTCTCAATCTCTGTCTTCTGAATATAGGGACACCTGTATGGCCTGATCTGGAATGGCTTTGCTCCCTCCTTGAGTGTGATGCAGTGATCCTGGCTCCTTGCAGGGGGTAATCCCTGTGGTTCCTGGAATATATCTGCAAAGTCCTGTAGTAGCTTCTCCATAATTGGTGGGATTGGTTCCTGATCTGATTCCCTGTCCTCCACTGCATTTACCTGTGCCATGATCCCATATGTTTGCTTCCTGGTCCACTTATGCAGTCTACTCCCCCTTATCAGTTTCAGTTGTATGGTATTGTCCTCTCCCTTCAGCTCTACCTGCTGTTTCCCTGTCCTGAACTTCATGCTTAGTCTTTTAAAGTCAAACTCCATTGGACTGTTCCTGGCTAGCCAATCTACTCCTAGTATCATATCACATCCTCCCAGCCTCAATGTATTGAACTGATGTTGGAATTCATAGCCCTGCATCTTCCATACTATAGGCTTGGCAATGCTTCTGGACTGCAGTTTCTCCCCATTTGCCACTCTAACTGATAGAGTCTCCTTCTTTGTTACTAGTTTCAGGCTTCTAGCCAATTGTTCATCGATAAAACAATGTGTACTACCACTGTCAACTAGTGCAGTAATGGCCCTTCCCTGAATCATCCCCTTAATCCTAATGGTTTTGTGTTCAGTTTCCCCAGCCAAGGCATGGATAGATATCTCCATGAGTTCATTCTCTAACTCTCCACCAATGCAGTCGCAGAATATATCAGCTTCATCATTCTTCTCCCCCTCTCCCACAATTCCTGGCATCTCCTCTTCTTCCATAATCAACAGGTTTAAATGGGATTGTTTACATACATGCCCCAATGTATATGGTTCAGCACATTTGAAGCAAAGACCTCTTTCTCTTCTATGGTTGAGTTCTACTGGTAAGTTTTTTGAACTGGCTCTGAGGATTGGGGTGGATACTGTAGGTTTTGGGGTTGATGGGGATCTGTTTGTCAAGTAGTTTGGGGTAGTTTGAAGTTTTGTCAGGGAGTTTTGGGTGGTATGGGACTTTTAGCAGGGGTTTCTGGTAGCTGGGGCTATAGGAAGGGGTCTTGTGGATTTTCTGTAATGCTCTCAGGTTCCTCTCCTGCAGTTTGGTAGCTTCTACAGCATCCGCCAGTGTTTTAGGCTTGGCAAGTTTTACCATAGTTACTATTTCTTCTTTTAATCCACTCAGAAAACATGTTTTGTAATAGCAATCTTGCTGATGAGGAAGGGAAGGCATTACTAGGGCTTTGAGCATTTCGAATTTCTCCAGGTAGTCAGCTACTGAACCTGTCTGCATCAATTTGTTGAACTCTTCTATGGCTTCCTCAGGGGAGCCATCTCCAAACCTCTCGCATAGTGCATTGCAGAGCTCCTCCCATGGAATATCCTCCCTTCCATTGAATACACCATGGAACCAGATATCTGCCTTATCCCTGAAATAGAGTTCTGCAACCTCAGACTTTATGTCCTCCTCTACTCCATTGATTTTGAAGTACTTATTGGCCTTCCTGATCCATTCCCTAGGATTTTCCCCAGTGAATGATGGCAGGTCCACCTTAGGTAGCCTAGTGAAAGTCCTGTGTCCCTGAGATTCAGATCTATCCATAGCTCCTTACTGCTCCTCCTTCCTCCTGTTGTCCTCCTTATGCACCAAACTTGACTCTGAGCTGTTGCCTTCTACATCCTTCCCTTTGTCGTTTAACCTTGCTAACATTTGTGCCATCATGTTCATCATACCTTCATACTTCTGATCCAGGTTTTTGAGTGCCTTTTCAGTACTCTCTTGCCTGTGCTCCATGATCCTGACAGCTTGCTCTAATCCATCACTCCTGTTAGCAAAAGTTCTAACTACACTTCCTAGTTCAGTGATCTCCTTCCTCGTCTCATCCTGGCCTTTAGTCATTTTCCCAATGGCTCGTAGCTAGCTCTGATACCACTGTTATGGACCAGAAACCAGAGAAGCCAGAACTATTGCAGAAAACAGAAAGGACAAGCTCAAGCAAGGAACTAATTAATCAATGAATCAATGTAACAGTAATCGTATGAATCTGATTCTTCATTAATAGAATTTGGTGAACAAATACAAGAACAGAAATGATGGTTCTAGCTGAGTAGGGGTAAGAATCGAAGGAAAATTGGGAGGGAAAAATGAGGATTGTTCCTCAAACAAACTTTGATGAATCTAGACAAAATGAATTCAAAAGCTGCTTTACTTGAGCAGAGAAGCCTGCTTATAAAGCTAACGAATCCTAACAGATTACTAACTGAGCCAATAAAAACAATACACGTGTTGAATTATATCTGCAAGTTGCATCTGCAAGTTGCCGCTCCTGAGGTTCTGTTAGAACAACTGAAACCCAGGTCCGTTGGCCATGCTATAGACAACCTCTCTGTCCAATGTCCACGCCTTCAGCTCCTTAGCATCCACGCCTTCATGTTCCTACTACCTTGTTTCTGCTTACTCACGCCTTTTGTATTTGTTTTGCCTAGTGATCGCGCCTTTCTACTTCTGACATTCACGCCTTCATGGTTCCTGCTTCCTAAGTCATGTTTTTATCTTTAGTTAGTTTGTTCACTTCATTACAGTTGGCTTGTGATTAAATGTGATGTTTGAATAAAGTAGACTTGGATGTTGTTCGGGGTTCATTATTTTCTTATTTTGCTTCTGGACTTGCATATTTGGTAGAATTTCTTGCCGAAAAATGAAGACCCAGAAAGAAGTTGCAGAAAGCTTCTGAGATTGCAAAAGTGTGATTTCGAAGCTTGCCTGGATAGTTTCCAAAAATTTCATTTTGATCCCCTAACTTTTACCTAATTTCACTATGGCTCAAAACCTTCTGAAATTAAACCGATTTTGCCCTTTTAACTTTATTTTTTTTCATGTTTTTTAGTGATTCATTGGTAGATTAATTCTGGAATTTAGAATATATTTAGGATTAAATATTTTTAGTTGATTTTTAGCTTGTTGGGTTTTATAAGACGAGTTATATATTTCGGTAATATTTTCGTTTGGGTTTAGTAAGTGGATTTTTTATTTATCTTTGTGAGTTCTAGCATAAGGTGGGTAGGCTTTATTTAGAGCCCTTAATTTAATTTTTTCTTTAATATTTGACCCCTGAAATTTTGTAATAATAATTTGACCTCCAGAACTTTTATAATTTTTTCAATTAGGACCTTGCTTGTTTTAATTTCTTAAATATATGTTGTTTATCTTCTTTAATTAGTAATTATGCTTCATTTAAATGCTCTAATTGATAAATTTCATGATTATTTTCATTTCTTTACATGTTATTGCTTTTATTTGTTAATTAAATTGGTTACTTGATGATTTTTGTTAATTTTGGAGTTAAATAGGGCAAATCCATTTCCCCATTAGCTACTACTTCAAAGGGAGGTATCCTCTTATGTTATTTTTAAATGCTCTTATGTGCTCCTATGTGATTTTATGTGTGTAATTGCATATATTTTGAATGTTTTATTTTATTTTATTTATTTAATCACTTTATTTGTTTTTAATTTTGTATATTTATTTTAATTTAATTTTTGATTATTTGAGTGGCATTTAAATGCCAAATTGTAATAGATAGGGGGTTCAAGACATGTATTTAGCTAGTTTTTGTAATAGATAAGATTTAATTCTTGTTAAAAATGTATTTAGTTAGACAAGTATAATGGTTATATTATTATTTTATTCTCCCCCTAGATTGTAGTTAAGACGCCGAATGTAATAGATAGGTTTCTATTTGCTTTTATTTGTTTGTGTATTTTCATGCTTGTGTGTTTACATGTTTATTCGCTTTCTTAGGGTCTTTGCATCTAGATATCATGCTTATGTGCTATGTGCTTTATGTGCTTTATGTGTTTACTTGATTTTATTATGTTTTATATGATTTGTTTAGTTATAATAAATGCGACGTAACTACACTAGTCCAACGCTAGTTGTGGTCTTTCTCTCCGATTTTTACTAGTTCAACACTAGTGAATGCTTGGGCTAGTTTAACGCTAGACCCTTAGGGACCGTCTGCACGCTAGAATCACATGCTTGCATGACAATCACTATATTTCATGCATATTTTCGACTCTTTTAAGGATATTTACCATTTTTGCATGATATTTCCTCTATATGTATATCCCTTATCCTTATGTGTGAAACATGACATTTAGACTTGTATTTCATTTAAGAAAAATTAGAAATAGGTTAGTGCATTTTGCTTGACTAGATTAGGAGAGTGCCTTTTGAATATGGAATATGGAATATGGACGAGTATGGCTTCGTAGCCTTAGCATTCTCGTATTCCCTCTATAAAAGGGAAAATTGAGTCACGAACCTTAGCCCCCGTATCCGTTATGTTGCATCCCTTTCTTTTAGGTCACATATATTTGTATATTATAATTTTTCTATTTTTTCCAAATCTCATTATTGCATATTTGTGACCTCTTCAAAGAATCACTTTTGAGTGTCGCAATTAATGTGATTTGCACCAACTAAAATTCGAAAAGACATATTGACCCTTTCGATAGTCATTAGGTCTAGGTTTGCATTCATATAGTAACATTCAAGTGTGATAAGTTTTTAGGTTAAATTAAGAAAATTTTTGGATTAAATCACGTAACTAGCCTTGACTAGATTGAAAGGGTGCCTTGGATTTTATCCTTGCCTTCCCTTTCTTCAACCGTGATTTCTGAGCACTTTTCTCTTGATTTTCGAAGACTTGAAGTCGTTCAAAAATGGTTTTCTCTATTTTTTATTTAAAAATTCATTTTCAGGTGATTTGGTACACCTTAATTTAATACCAAGTGACGACTCCTATTTTTCTTAAAAACTCTTTTTAGACTATTATTTTGGGTCAAAATCGTCGCACTTTTAAGTCCCATTTTAGGCCCTTTTTCTTTATTTATTCTCTAAAAATAAAAAACTCATTTTCACTTAAAATTAATCAAATATTCATTTTTATAACTTGTAATTTTAT